GGTGTAGTGGGTAAAGCTGCTGCCTGCAGTGCCGCATCCCACATGGGCGCTAGTTCAAGACTCAGCTGCTTCACTTCTGACCCAGTTCTCTGCTATGGCCTGGGTAGAAGATGGCCCAAGTCCTTGGGCCCCTGCGCCCACATGGGAGACTCAGAAGAAGCTCCTGCTCCTGGCTTTGGAATGGCCCAACTCCAGCCATTGCAACCATTTGGGGAGTAAACCAGCAGATGGATGACCTCTCTCTCTCTCTCTCTCTCCCTCCCTCCCTCCCATCTTCCCTCCCTCCCTCCCTCCCTCTCTGTAACTCTGCCTTTCAAACAACCAATTAAAAAGAAATAAAAAGAAAAAAGGATAAGATAAACCCAGCTAGATGCTGGCTACAAGACACATGCTTTAAACATAAACTCAGAAATAGGTTCAAAGTAGAATAGCAAGTTAAAAGGAAAAGATTTACTATGCTAATACTAATCAAAACAAAGTTAGTTGTTAATATCAAACAAAACAGATTTCAAAGCAAAAATATAGTACCCACAATAAAGGGGGTTATTTCATAATGGGGTCACTATGAGGGCTCAACAGCTCAGGAGAACATAAAAACCCTAAACGCTGCTGTACCCACTATCATGAGAGCCAAAATGCAGGGAGCAAAATATGACAACTGCAAGAAGGAGAAAATTCTGCAATTTCAATCCCTCCCTCAATAATTTAAATAGTAGATAGTAATCTATACAAGGCTTGAGCAATACCATTACCTAACTTGAGCTAACTCACAGTGATAGAACTCTCCACCTATCAATACTATATAAACCACCCATCGCCCAGCTCACTCTATGAGGTCAGCATTACCTTGATACCAAAACTAGACAGTCATCACAAAAGGAAAAAATTGCAGATCAATAGCTTTCCTAAACATAATAAATACAGAAATTCTTAGAACAATTTGAGCAAAGCAGGTGCAACAACATGTAGAAAAGTTTATACAACATCAGTTGAGATTTATCCCACTAGTACAGAGTTTAACATTTGAAAATCAATGTCACTCACCATGTTAACAAACTAAAAAAGAAAAATCATATGATCATCTGAATAGATATCCAAAAAAATAGAATCATTGTATGTACTCATTGTCTCCTTTTGCTTAGTATAATTATTTTGAGATTCTTCTGTTTGTTGAGGTACAATATTCCATTGTTTTTATTACTGTATAGTGCTCTGCTCTGTAAACATGTGACAACTATTTATCCATTGCTGAGACCATATTCCAAAGTGTTGTGCCTTAGTACCTCCCCACTACCAGTGTGTGAGTTCCTGTTACTTTACATGCTCACCAGCAGGGGGCAGTGTTTTTAACCCCAGCCATCCAGTAGGTAATGGTTATCTCATTGTAGTTTTAATTTGCATTTCCCTAATGATGGTGAGCAACTCTATTTGCCACCAGTATAATTTTATTTATTTCTTTTTGGTGAAGTATCTTATCTGTTTAGTAGGTAGAGAAAAATTATTTCATAAACTGTTATATCCTTTTATGATAAAAAAAATCCTAGCGGAGTAGAAACTGAGCATATGTTGTTAATCCAATCAAAAGTGGTTGTGCAAGCATGATACTTAATAGTGGAAATATTAAAAATTTTCCCAAGATAGAGAATGAAAATAGCAAAATTGCTATCATCTTTCTAGTCAATATTGTCCCGAAGGTCTTAGCCTGTACAAAAGTCAAGACAAATACATAAAAATATATGGATCAGAAAGGAGGAAATAAACTTGCCATTAATCACAGATGACAAAGTTGTATGGAGAAATTTCAAAAGAATCTGTAAGAAAACCTAAAAGAAGTTTTTTTATTTGGCAAGGTCACTGGAATTAAGGTCAATCTACTTTATTTCTATAACCAGAAAAATTGGGAAATGAAATGAAAATATTTTCACTTATAAAAGCATAAAAATAAACTGCCTAGAATAGGTATAATGAAGCGATGCAAGACCTCTCCATACAAAACTGTTAAACATCAAGAATCCAGCGAGACAACTTCAAGAAAGGACAAATGTGCGCCAGAGAACTCAGTATTGTAAAAATGTAAATTGTCCCTAAATTGATTTCTAGAATTAATGCACTCCAAATCAAAATGACAGGTGGGATTGTTAAAAGACACTGATAAGCCGATTGTGAAATTCATATGAAAGTGCAATGGAGCCAAGAATCATAAACAAGGAAGCACAAAGTTGAAGGACATAGTAACACTAGATAAAGCCTTACCACAAGTTACTGCTAATTAGACAGTGTATATGTGAACAGAATAAAGAAACCAGAAACAGACCTCAGTATATATGGACACCTGATTTATGACAAAGACAACAACAACAACACAGCATAGTAGACGAAGAACGGCCTTCCAGGGATGGTGCTGGGTCAAATGGACACACAGCTGGAAAACACCAGACTGGGGCATCTTCTTCACACCACATACAAAAACAACTCAGAGTGAACTGCAGATCTAGATGCAAAAGGTAGAATAATATCTTCTAGAAGAAATTCTCTTGGATGGGCAAAGATTTTGTAAAGGAAAGATTGGTAAATTGGGCTATATTAAAATTAAGAGCTTCTATTTGCTAACATACCATCAAGAGAGTGGAAAGGAAAGTCGCAGACTGGGCAAGGTATTTTACCTATTACCTACAAATGACTCATTTCTAGAATTGTTCTAAATGCCCTCTATACAAAAAAAAAAAAAAAAATCCAATAAGAAAAAAAAAGGCAAAACACCTTAAAGAATCAGCTCTCCAAATATAATATTCCAAAGGCCAAGCAATGTATGAAAACATGTTCCATCTCACTCATCAAAGGGCAATGCAAGTTAAAACTACAGAAGCTACAAATTTTGGTAAGGTTTTCAGAGCAACTGGAAGTCTCACATATTGCTTAAAAGAAAGTAGAATCTGCATAACAGCTTTAGAAAACTGGCAGTATCCACCAAACTTCTCATAAACATACCCTAAGACCCAGCATTTCTGGGTGGACAGTGTGAGAGTGGACAGTGAGAGAGAGAGACAGAGAGAATGGTCTTCCTTCCATTGGTTCACCCCTCAATGGCCGCTGTGGCCGGCGCCCTGCGGCTGGCGCACTGCGCTGATCCAAAGCCAGGAGCCAGGTGCTTCTCTTGGTCTCCCATGGGGTGCAGGGCCCAAGCACCTGGGCCATCCTCCACTGCACTCCCTGGCCACAGCAGAGAGCTGGCCCAGAAGAGGGGCAACCAGGACAGAATCCGGTGCCCCGACCAGGACTAGAACCCGGTGTGCCGGCGCTGCAGGCAGAGGATTAGCCTATTGAGCCGCGGCGCCGGCCAGACCCAGCATTTCTGCTCCCAGCTTTAGACTCAAGAAAAAGATGTCTTCAAAAAGTTCGTGGAAAATGCATACTATGAAAAATCTATGTGTAGATTTCCAAAATTATTGCAGGAAAATAAGCATCTTGTCGTTCCATTTTTTCGTAAACACTTTGAAGCCCACTCGTATGACTCAAAAGACAATTACAAGAACAGTTACAGAAGCTCTTTCTCATGATAGCCCCAAACTGGGAGCAACGTAATTGAATAAATGGTGGTGTATCCAGGGCAGGTGCTGGGTGCCACAGTTAAAATGTCACTTGGGATGCCTGCATCCCATGTTGGAGTGCCTAGCTCAAGTCCTGGCTCCTCTTCCAATTCTAGCTTCCTACTAATGTACACCTTGGGAGGTAGCAGGTGATGAAGTACTTGGATTCCTGCTACCCAGATGGGAGACCAGGATTGAGATACAGGCTCCTATTTAGCCTGGCCCAGTTCTGGCTGTTTGCAGGCATTTCAGGAGTAAGCCAGTAGATGGAAGGTCTTTCTCCTCTACCACCACCCCGAACCCCGTACCTTTCAAGTAAAATAAGGTTTTACTTTTTAAAAATCATGTTAGTTTCAAGCAATGGCAATAAAATGAACAATTACTGATACATGAAACTCTCTCACACATGAATGAAAAAGGCCTGAGAGACAAGAGTTCATATCATCAAATTCAAATTTATACAGAGTCTGGAAGCAGACTCAAGTTACCAACAATGTCCGCGTTGTTTACTTTCGCACAGGAGGAGGAGGAGGATATCCAGGAAGGGACACGTCGAGGGCTCCTGGGATGCTGTTGACATTGTGTGTCTCGGACTGAGAAGCGATGCTCTCTCTACTTATTAAGCTACTCAGCTACGGCCTGTGCATCGTCCCTGAGTACGTGCCGTGCCTCAGCGGAATATTAGAGCAAAAGGGAACGTGCAAGCCAGAGCACGGGAGGAGGAAGAGGCCCGTGTCTGGGTGGGAGCACAGGCCAACTCTGGAGGCCCACCAGGGATGTGATAGTGGCTCAGAAAGGGAAAGCAGAGGAGTCTGGGAGACCTCACAGGGAGGTTTCTGGGCTCAGCAAAGATTCCGAAGCCCAGAGGTGGCCTGGATCGTCACACACAGCGATGTGAAAGAGAGCACATGGGCGGGTTCCGTGGACATCTCAGGACTTCCCCTCCGCTGCCAGCCTCCCACCATCAGCTCTTTCTACTGGAAAAGATACAAGCCTGAAACCAGCACAGGGCGGTAGGATTGGTGCCAGCGACGGCCGGGCTACCCTTTGCAACGACCCAGCAGAATGGGGGCTTGCACCCAGAATGTCAGCTGTCTTAGGAAGCAAAGGAAGCAAGGTCTCTTCCACACGCATCTGCATTTCAGCACTGGCTGACTCTTGCCCGATGCAGGGAGAGAACAAGGCTGCTTCTTTGTTGCTGAAGAGATTTTTTTTCTCCTTCTGTCTCATCCTTTCTTCTCGGAATTTCTTCCCGTCCACACGAAGCAGCACGGCCTACCTTAAGCATGGCCTTGTGGGGACAACCCAGGATGTACTGTGTGAACCCCCCAACCCACCGCTGTGTAAGAAAACGAGCGTACGTTAGGCTCGGTCCTGCCCCCTAGAGACAGGTGTTAGTGAAGCTCACGCGACCTTTCTGTAGTTTGTCGGTAAATCGGATGCGACGCCTGTCTTTCTGCGCAGGGTTGTCCATGTCAGCAGAATTCTGCACTATGTCCCACGTGTTGGATGAAAACCTCTATTGCATGTTCTTCTAACACCTGAAACAGCAAAATAGCGCATGTGTAGAGATCCCTTCACAGCGTGGTGAATGATCGGGTTCTGTTCTGATCTTGTGGGTGGAGGATGACAGGGACCATGTCCTGTGACCCCACGTCCCAAGCACAGTGCTGCCAGCAGTAGGAGCTCCATACAAGGTCACTATTGCTGTGGCTGACACAGCTCCTGCAGCCTTGGGTTTCCCTTTCATTTTATAAATCTAGCTTTACGGAGAGATAATATACATATAATAAAATTCATCAGTGTGAAGTGTGCACTTGTAAGCTAAGGCAAACATTTAGATTGTGTTAAATAATGAAGATACAAATTTACCCAGCACCCCCAAAATGTCTACCTGTCCCTTTGCAGTCAGTACCCTCTTGAGCCAGCCTCTGATGACACCGCTCTGCTTTCTCTCACAAAAGTCGCCTTTTTATCTTGCCCCGTAAGTGCAGTCATACAGGATGTGCTCTTTCATGACTGTCTTTTTTTTTTCCCCAGTGAGCAGAAGTGGAATTTTCCACATTGTTGCATAGATAAGCTTGTTCCCTTTGCTCCAGATCTTCATCAACATGTGTTTGCTCCGTCTTGTTAATTTCAGGCATCCCAGTGCCTGCGTGGTTGTATCGCACTGTCACTGTAACTTGCATATTTTAATTGCTTCTTTATCTTAAGTGAAGTGTGCTCACGTCTTCTGATTCTCCCAAGCAATTAGTTTTAGATTACTGTGGAGTTGTAAAAGTTCTTGTATTTGGGATTGGAGCCCTTTTTCACACACGTGCTTTGAACAAAAGTTTGTGGGAAAATGGAATTAAAAGGTAGGTTCATTTTGGTGCCAAGAAATTCTGAAATCCATGCATAGTTTATTCATCATCTCCATTTTCTGTGAACTTTTCTGAAGAGCCCTTGTGTTGACTCCCAGAGTGAGGGCTGCATTTTCATTGTCTTACGTGTCTTTTGAAAAGGAAGTGTTTTAAATTTTGATCAAGTTGAATTTGTCCTATATTTTGAGCTTTGTGATCTTTAAAAAAAATTATTTTTCATTTTTACTTACTTGAAAGGCAGAGTTACAGAGATGGGGGGGGGGATCTTCAATCCACTGGCTCATTCTCCCTAATGGCCGCAATGGCTGGGTGAGAATCCAGGAGCCAGGGGCTTCTTCCAGGTCTCCCATGTGGGTGGCAGGGGCCCAAGCACTTTCTCAGGTGCATTAGCAGGGAGCTGGATTGAAGTGGGACAGCCAGGTCTCCAACAGGCACCCATATGAGATGTCTGTGTCACAGGCAGAGGCTTAACCTACTATGCACAATGCTGGACTTACATATTTTCTTAAAGTGATAACTAAGTATTTCAAGTTCCTATGTAATGAAAATAGCACTTTAAAATTTTAATTTCTAATTGTTTATTGTTGGTATTCAGAAAAAAGTCATTTATGTATATTGATCTTGTATCCTGTAACCTTCCTGAACTCAGTTTTTTAGTTCTAGTAACTTTTTTGTAGATTTCAAAATTCAACATTTATAATGAAGTATATGTGAATTAAAAAGTTTTATTATGGTTCTCAGTTTTTTCCTGAGAGGCCCACCAGGCCTCTCAGGTGTTTTTTGTTCATTATTTCATTTCATTAAACTTAGCTAGAATGCTTACTGCTAAGTAATTTTTTAAAAGTTTTATTTCTTCCTTTCCTGTACACATATTGTTCCTTTTTTTCTTGTAACATTGCAATTCATAAGGCATCCAGTACAATGATGAATGGAAGTGGTGATAATAGGCATCTTTATCTTGTCACTGGTTTAAATGGGAAGGCATTCAGTCTTTCAACATAAAATATGATGTTAGTGGTAGGGTTCTTTATAGAAGCTAGTTATTCCTTTAATCCTAGTTTCCTAAGAGTTTTTTGGGGGCTGGCATTGTGGCAACCACTGCCTGCAATGCTGGCATCCCATATGTGTGCCAGTCCAAGTCCAAGCTGCTCTACTTCTAACCCAGCTCACTGCTGCTGAGTCTGGCAAGAAGGCAGCAGAGGATGGCCCAAGTGCTTGCACCCCTGCCACCCATGTGGGAGACGCAGATAAAGTTCACGGCTTGTGGCTTTGGCCAGGCCCAGCCCTGGCCATTGCGGCCATTTGGAAAGTGAACCAGGAGATCTTTCTCTTTTTCTCCCTCCCTCTGTCTCTGTAACTCTGACTTCCAAATATATAAATAAATCTTTTAAAAAGAGAATTTTTTAACAGAAATAGGTGTTGAATTTTATCAAGTACTTTGCATCTATGGAGATGATTTTTGTGAGTATATTAATTGAATGTCATCAATTGATTTGCATATGCTAAATCAATCTAGTATTCCTGGAATAAATGCTACTTGGTCATGATACATTGTTACTTTTATATATCGGTGGATTCAATTTGCTAAAATTTTGTTAAGTTTTTCTGCACCTATGTTCATGAGAGCTTTTGATCTGTAGTTTCTCTGTCTCTCTCTGTGTGTCAATATCTTTTTGTTTCCTTTTAAAGATTTATTTATTTCACTGAAAGGCAGGATGACAGAGAGAGGGACAGACAGATCTAGGGAGAGAGATCTTCCATTTGATGGCTCATTCTCCAGATACCCATAATAGCCACGGCCAGCCCAGGCTGAAGCCAGGAGCCTGGAATTCAATCTCAGTTCCCATAGGGGCGGCAGGAACCCAAGTAAGTGGGCCATCATTGCATTAGCAGAAAGGTGGATCAGAAATGCGAGGCTGGACTGGAGCTGGCGCTCTCATATGAGATGCGGGCTGCCCAAGCAGAGGCTTAACCATGACACCTGTAACACAAAAAAGCCTGCTTCACAAAATGAACCGGAACGTGTTTCTTTCTTTTATTTTCTGGTAGATTTCGTATAGAATTGGTACTATTTCTTAAATTTGCAAGTGAAGTTATCTGGGCCTGGGGTTTTCTTTGTGGGAAGGATTTTAATGACAAATGCGCCTGCTTAATAGACACAGGGTTCGTCTGGTCATGTAGTGCTTCTTGAGTGAGCTGTAGCAACTTGAGTATTTCAAGGATGTTTCTCATCTATCATGAAATTAATGGGCATAAAGTTGTTCATAATATTCCTTTGTTATCCTTTTGATATCTATATATTCTGTGGTAACACCCTTCCTTCATTCCTGATATTGGCATTTCGCATCTTGTATCTTATGTCGATAAGTCTGCCTAGAAGTTTATTAATGTATCATTCTTGTTATTTCATTGACTTTTCTTTATTTCTCTATTATTATTATTCCCCCCTTTTTGATTAGTTTGAACTTCACTTTCTGTTCTTTTTTTTTTTTTTTTTTTTTTTTTTTACCTTGTCAGGTGGATGCTTAGATCGAGTGTAGGCTTTTCTTCCTTTGCAATATAAGCATTTTTTTTTTTGACAGGCAGAGTGGACAGTGAGAGAGAGAGAGACAGAGAGAAAAGTCTTCCTTTGCCGTTGGTTCACCCTCCAATGGCCGCCGCGGCCGGCGCATCACACTGATCCTAAGCCAGGAGCCAGGTGCCTCTCCTGGTCTCCCATGGGGGTGCAGGGCCCAAGGACCTGGGTATCCTCCACTGCACTCCCGGGCCACAGCAGAGAGCTGGCCTGGAAGAGGGGCAACCGGGACAGAATCCGGTGCCCCGACTGGGACTAGAACCCGGTGTGCCGGCACCGCAGGCAGAGGATTAGCCTATTGAGCCACGGCGCCAGCCAATATAAACATTTTTTTTTTTTTTTTGAGAGGCAGAGTGGACAGTGAGAGAGAGAGACAGAGAGAAAGGTCTTCCTTTGCCGTTGGTTCACCCTCCAATGGCCGCCGCGGCCGGCGCGCTGCGGCCGGCGCACCGTGCTGATCCGATGGCAGGAGCCAGGAGCCAGGTGCTTCTCCTGGTCTCCCATGGGGTGCAGGGCCCAAGCACCTGGGCCATCCCCCACTGCACTCCCAGGCCACAGCAGAGAGCTGGCCTGGAAGAGGGGCAACCAGGACAGAATCCGGCGCCCCAACCGGGACTAGAACCCGGTGTGCCGGTGCCGCTAGGCGGAGGATTAGCCTAGTGAGCTGCAGCGCCGGCCCCAATATAAACATTTAATATCTTAAAAAGTTTTCTCCAAGCACTGCTTTAGTGGCCTCTCATGTATTTTGATATATTGTCTTTTTGTTTTTATTTGGGTTTAAAATACCTTACCTTTTGTTTCTAATTTCCCTTTGACACATGGTTTATTTGGACGTCTGCTGTTTAGTTTCCAAGTAGTCAGGGGATTTACCAGATGTCTATTCCTGATTTCAAGATGGGCTTTTTTTTTCTGTTGTTGGATGGAGTTTTCCCATAAATGTTAATTAAATCAAATTGGTTGTTAGTGTCACATCTTTATATCCTGATTGACTTTATTTGCTAATTATATCAGCATTGTGTGGAAATCTCCCACACTATATCACTGTGAATTTGTTTCTCTTTGAGTTTCATCAGCCTCTGTTCCATAGATGCTGCAGCACTGAATTAGGGCATGCACATGTACGATTTTCATGTCTTTCAGTGAACTGAATTGCCCCTTTATTGTTGTGGTATGCCTCTCTCTACCATGGCAGACTCCGTTTCCTGAATATCTTTATATTAATATAGCTACTCCAGCTTTCTTTTGATTACTATTAGCACACTATATCTTTTTTATCTTTTACCTTTGTCCTATGTCTTTATATATAATTTGTTTTTCATATATATATATATGTTTTTTATTTGAAAGGCAGAAAGAGACAGAGATTTCCCATCTGTTGGTTCACATCCCTAAAATGCCTGCAATAGCCAGGGCCTGGCCAGGTCAAAGCCAAGGGCCCAGAACTCAATTCAGGTTTCCCCTGTGAGGCAGGGACCCAAGTACTTGAGCCATCACGTGCTGCTTCCCAGGGTGTGCATGAGCAGGAAGCTGGAATTGAGAATAGAGCCAAAACCAGGCGCTCGGACATGGGATTCAGGCAGCCCAGGTGGCATCTAATCTGCTAAGCCAAAGGCCTGACATTCCCCTTTCCCCATGTCTCTATAAAACCTCTAAGGCAACTACAATAAATTAGCATGCTAAAATTTGACAATTAACACCCTAAGTGAGCTGTGTTGGTTTTTTTTTTTTAAAGATGTATGTATTTATTTATTTATTTGAAAGGCAGAGAGAGGGAGAGAGGGAGAGAGGGAGAGAGAGAAATCTTCCACCCACTGCTTCACTCCCCAGATAGCTGCAATGGCGGGAGCTGGGCTGATCCAAAGCCAGGAGCCAGGAACTTCCTCTGGATCCCCCACACAGGTGCAGAGGCCCAAGCACTTGGGCCACTTCTACTGCTTTCCCGGGTACATTAGCAGAGAGCTGGATCAGAAGTGGAGCAGCCAGGACTTGAACTGTTGCCCATATGGGATGCCATGCCACAAAGGCTTAACCTACTATGCTACAGCACTGGCTCCTCTGTTGGTTTTTAGAATTTAGGATATTGCATACAGTTTTCAAAACATAAAGCAAACATCTGAGACTGTCTTGAATTTTTCACTGCCCCCACAACACAGTTTGAAACTTCCTTGGGCAGTTCTACCTGAAATTTCCTTCCTGTATCTAAGTTGATTCTGTCTCTCTCTCTCCCCTCACCCCCACATACACATCCTAGTTTCAACTCTTGGATCTCACTCAGAATAAGTCTCACTCCTTGTCCACATTGTTCATTTTCAAAATGCAAGTCACGGTCTGTGGTCTTCTGTGACATTTGGTTGGTGTGTGAGAGCTGGATCACAGTCTAAAGCGCCTTTCTTGCCGCGGTTCACGCCCAAAATGTCTGAAAGCCACTGTTCCAGATCATTCTTGGGTCCTGCTGCTGTGGCACAGCAGGTTAGGCTGCTACTTGCGATACCCAACTGCTCCCCTCCTGATCCAGCTCCCTGCTGATGTGCCTGGACAAGCAGCAGCTGGTGGCCCAAATACTTGGATCCCTGCCCCCCACCTGGGAGACCAGGATGGAGTTCCTGGCTCCTGGTTTCAGCCTGGCCCAGCGCTGGTCATTGGGTGGCCAAGGAGTGAACCAGTAGAGGGCAGATCTCTTTCTCTCTCTCTTTCTCTCTCTCTCTCTCTCTCTCTCTCTCTCTGAGTCACTCTGCTCTTCAAATCAATTCAAAAAAAAAAAAAAAAAAAAAAAAAGATCATCCTCCAAGAACGTGAAGGCAGTTATTACCCACTACGGACTAACCGTGCCCCCATCAGGGGCCTTCCTCCCTTCTGCAACTCCTCTTCTACTGGGCAGCACCCTCTGCCCCCTCACCAGATCCTTCTGGCTGTTTACGGATAACTTCCCTGGCCACCGTCACTTACCATGCACAACCCCATCTATTTCAAGCCACTGACTTTGCTTTATTTTTTCCAAGTGTTGTGTATTTATTACTTTTTTATGACTTTCGTTATAGAATATTCATCACAGAATCCGCAGTCTTTTTTTTTTTTTTGGCACACAGGAGTTGTCTAATAAATTTGTAGACAGAAGGCAGACTCATGCTCACAACAGTGTGCACAGATGTGCTCATAATACAATTATTTCCTTCATGAGCCAGGTTCTACAAGTATTTCGTTTACAGGACTGCAGACTTTCCACCATCTTTTTTATTAAAATATTATCATATATTCTGGCATTATCACATATTTTATACACGTGTACATGTGGCTATATAGCTTACCAATGCTTGCTCAACTACATATACTATTCATTTCTGTGGAATTTCACAGGATTTTCACGAGTGGTTTTGCCCACAGGCGATTTTCATCAGTTCAGGCCCGGTGCTGTGGCGCATCTCGGAGACATTTTGCATTCTTCAAAGCACTGTCCGGTACGTAACCACTGGGCATTTTTCTCGGCGGAGAACGCGTGTCGGGCAGTTGGCGGGAACTGGGTTCCGGCTAGAGTCCAGCCTCACTCATCCCAGAGCCGGGACGCCCGGTGAGCGGGGGTGGAGCTGGGCTTGGCGCTCCGCCCTCTGCGGTCCACGCCGCGCCGTCCGGGACCCGCAAGGTCTGTGCGCCGCCGGGGCGGGGGCCGAGGGGTCTGACGCCCCCCGTCAGCCGCGGGAGCTCCGTGGAGAAGCCGCGCAGAGCCGATCGCCGCTTTCCAGTGGGGCGCCACCTCCCTCCGCGCGGGAAGCGCGCACGGCCCCGGAGGCCGGGCCACCCGCGGGCGTGCCGCGTCCGCCACCCCAGGCCCGCAGGGACCCGCCCCCCACCCGAAACTGCCTCCTACCTGGTCGGGTCCAGGCGGCTGAATCTGGCCGGCCCAACCTCCCCGTTGCTGTGGCAACCACAGGCCTCGAATTCTGCGGTCCGGGAGGTGCCGCCTCAGCCACTCTAGCCAATGGTGGCCTGTGTCTCTTACGCGTGAAAAGGTTTTGACCAATCGTGAGAGCTGTTTCAAAAAATCCTCAGGGAAACTGCCAGAATTTTAGGGCTTAGGCTAGTTGATTACGTAGAGTCCAGGGGGAGGGGGCGGGGACCAATAGGGACTTATCTAAGCTATCTTCGCAAATCTTGCGATAGACCAAAAGTCTCCGAATTCTGCTCATCCTACCTCAAGGAACACATCTAGCAGAGTTAACCATCCAAGCCCCTCTGAAAAGCCGAAGAGCGAAGATGGATTCGGGCAGCTGCGAGCCGCTTCTGCCTCGCTTCCGATCGGCCCCAGGGACTGTCGGGCCCCTGCTGAGCGCTCTCCGGCGGTGCCCTCTAACTTCACAGCGGGCCCCACACGCCCGGCGACAAGCTGCTGCCCCTGCCACCCAGAAAAATCTCGCGCCATCGCCGCTGGCCTCTGCGCAGATCCCACACCACTCCTGGGCAGGGTACCCTCGGACCCAGGGCCAGAACCCGCTCCTGGCTCTCCCACATCGCTGAGGTCTCTCTGCCCAAGATCACCTGAGCTCGGGGTCTCGCTAGGGGGTCGCAGGGAGGGTCTGCAACGAACGCCGTGTGCAGGGAACCGTGTGCGTGGTGAGCAGCGTTCTGCCTTCCGCAAAGCCCCCCGGCTGCACGTCGCGGAGCGGAGTCAAGTGCGAGGCTCAGTGTCTGGGATTCAGGGTTGCCGGGCCGCGGGCGTGCTGGGCCAACAGGTGTCAGAGGGCGCAGGGGAGAGAGAGAGACGGCCCCTGCCCACTTGCGGGGCTTTGGGGGAAACAGGTCTTGAAGGACGTGTGGGATCTGAATACGTGATGGGGGACAGCCCGAGAAAAGCCCCGGAGGATAAGAACGGAGGGCACCTGGCAGGTTGCTAAAGCCGAGCCCACCTGTCGAGCAGGTGGAGGTGAGCAATCACCCGCGCTCTTCCGGACTGCGGGAGACGGGGACAAAGGTCGCTCCCACGTTCTCCCCGCGGCCGCTAGAGGGGCTCCCTCCAGGTGAGTGCCAAACTCTGCCCCCAAGGTCTCGCGCTGCGCTTCAAGCAAGCTTTGCAGGGCAGCCAATGACCGGGGGATGTCCCGCCCCCCTCCTCCTCGGAGCCACTCGCCTGCGCGAAATCCCTGCCAGCTTTTGACAGGCGGGAAGCTTGGCAAATCAAATCGCGGCTTCTGCCAGCAAAACACTGCAGCAGCTGGTAGCTCCGAGTTAGGAAGGAATTCGGGAGGCTGTGCCTCCGGGTTGCGCGGAGCGTCCAAGTCATGTCTCAGAAACCTCTGATAGGCGGACCTTAGGGGAAACGCTGCCGGTGAGTCGCGATTCCGACTTGGGGAGGGGACCGGGCGCTGCCATTCAGCCTTCGTTTGCTCAGGGCAAGATGCTTGTGTACTCAGCATTTCACCCCCTCCCCTAGTCTCAAACCCTGCCTCTGGCTGTCACCAGCCTTGTCGCCTTCGGTCCGCTTGCCTCCTTTCCAGTTTTCGGGTCCCACGTTGCCGTAGTGTAGACGACGCTGGGCTTTCCCGAATCGGGAAGTGAAACGCAAGCGCCTGGCCACGCCAAGCCGGCTCAGACGGTCTGGCAGTAGCGGACGGTGGGGCGAGCAGGTGGACAGGGAGATGCCGGCTGCTGGAACAGAGGTGCTGTCTGCTCGAGGTGTGGAATTCCCAGCTCAGTGAGAGTTAACCCCCGAGAGAGCCAAAGCCTAGGAAAAGGCCAGCGCGCCCCTGACATCCACCAGCCAGGAGCTGGATCGTCAGGTGGTGGGAAAGAACCTGCGTTATTTATCGTTCTCAGTGACAGCCAAGTTCTAATCCAGACCATGCTCTTGGGGGCTCTGAGCCCGGGCTTGCTGATCAGTAAAACCTGCTCTGTTTGATGGTGATGTCATTCATTGAGATAGGGCTGGGGGTGGAGAGGAAGCTGGCACCTCCTGGATTCTCTTTCCTCTCTCGGGTTCCCTGTGTTCCAGCCGTGGGGAGTCTGCTTGTCCCCTGGGCATATGTGAGTCCTGGAAAAGTGCTTTGAAGTCGGGAGAAGAGAGTCACCAGGCAGAGTGTGGGCCTTGTAAGGGAGTCCAGCTTGCAAGGAGTGCCTCGGAGGCCCTGAGCTCCTGAGGCCAAGAGGGAAGCTGCTTCTTGAAAGCACATTAAACCACTCCCCCAAAAAAGCCAAACCAGAACACCAGCTGGCTTGCAGGAGCTTGGGAGGCCTCCATTCCCAGCACCCCCTGGCCTGTCCCCAGGCCTGTTTGCCTTCCCTGCCGTCCTGTGGGTGGGGCTGGGTGTATCTGTTTGTTGTGGCTGTGCAGTGGGTGGTTGATGAGGCCTGAGTAAGGCATTCTTGATGTGAAGTGACCACAGCACACCCGGCACTTACCCGGCTGCTTTTAGCCGGGCAGTGGTGTGTATGGAAGTCACTGGGCCAGGCTCTGGACGCCGTCTCAGGAGGTGCAACAGAACAGGGGATTCAGCAAAACACCTTCCTGCCGTTTGCCTCTGCGGCCCCTTGGGCTCCAGCTGAAATGCCTCCCAGGGGCTCTCAGCAAAGAGCCCTGGGCCACTCTCTCTAAGACCCAGATTAAAAATGCCAAGCAGCCTGCAGAGCGGTAGCACAGTGATGTTTCCCATGGGCACCTAAAAGCAGCGTGAGGACTCTTCATCTTGCATCCACATACGCACAGGGTTTTGCAGCAGGAAGTCCGGCCGTGGGCTGTGAGTTGTGCAGTTAGGAGCCGATGAGCACCTCATAGGCGGATACCGCCTCATCCGGGGGCCCCTGGTGAAGTGAGCCCTGAGCCAGTGGTCTTGGTGGCTGCCCTTGTGCTAAGCCTGCATCTACTGTCTCCTCCGGACTGCACGTGGTGTCCCTAGTGGATATGTGTGCTCTCCCACCAGGAGCCAAAATTCCCAGGCCCACAGCCTGACAGCAGAGGGACTGGGAGATACAGGATAGATACGGGGGTGGGGGTGTTTGGAGGCTTTTGGCAGGGCCTGGCAGAGACTGTCTCTGGGGCAGGCACTGAGCCCTGGGGAAGCACTTGTTGGGGAATACATAAGAAAGAAAGCGTATGCATGGCTGAGTTAAATAATTAAGCTGGAAGAATCGAATTAACTGCTGCTGCTCCTTGCCTGCATGCATTGCACACGCCTTATTTCATCAAGGTCTCACACGAGTCCTGAAGGGTAGGGACGTTATTAGCCGTACGTTACAGCTGAGCAAACTGCTCACAAGTTAAACAGCCTGACCAAGGTGAAAACATAGCATACGGCAGATGAAAAGCACCGTATGTTTATATATTTATATCATATCTTAATATATTTTCCTTTTTATATTAATTGTATCAAAATAGATGTGTAGGTTAAGAATATGTAGAATCCAAATTTGCACTATGATTATTTTTTTAAATGATAACACTTCAAAGAAACCCTTAGCACTTGTAGGGTTTGGGTCATCCTTCCTAGAGCGCCAGGGGCACCCTTTCTCTTTCTATTCTACTTGGTAGAAAAGTTTGAGAAGTGCTGAAAACACCCGTCTGTTGAGGTTGACAGGGAGTAACATCATTGCTGAGTTTCTGTGAGGCCACGTTATCAACCCACTTTACAGGCAAGGCCACTGAGTCTCCTAGAGGCACAGTGAGATCTGGCCCCACGTGATCTGCTCCACCTCGCAGGACCTCCCGCGTGCCAGGCCGACGCTGGCTGCAGCCCGGTTCTTCCATCTTCTGTAGACGTGGCTTTTTTCCTTATTCTTTCCTTTCTACGTTAAGCTCCACATAGTTCCCTTCTGCTGGTTGTGGGATGGCTTTGGAGGCCCCAAAAGGTAGATATTGGCAGTATTTGAAGGGCGTATGGAGAAATAGAGGATTTCAGAGAGGCTGTGATGGGAGGTCGGCAGCCGCGGGCCCGGAGGGACGCTTTGGTGGTCCCTGCGTCCTGTCTTTCTAAAGGAGCCCGGAGTCCCGTTAGCCTTGCAGTGACCTCCGTTCTCACGGCCTGGGGTGTTTGGGCCTAGCAGTGCTGTCTTCTCAGGTAACAGAGCTGGGCTCAACGTCTCACTGCACATGCATTTTTAATGTTCCTCTCCGCTACCCTAGAGCGCCACAAGAAGCAGAAAGTGCACCCCTGGCTGCCGGGGAGACTGCCTGGAGGAGGAGGCTGTGCGTCTGCCAGACGAGCCTGGAAGGACGCTTCCTGCGTGAGGAAGAGAGGGTCGGTAGAAGACGGCGAAACCACCAGGAGACATGGCTTCCGGCTCGGGCCTCGCGTCGCAGCAGCTCCGCTCTGAGCCAGGCGTGCGCCACTAGGACAGCGGCCATGGATGGAGCCCACGGCCCAGCCCTGCAGGTGCAGCCGCTCCTGCCCACCAGCAGTGCCACCCCCGTGAGCGAGGGATCCTTCTCCTACAAGGCAAGGGCTTTCTTGGATTGGGCATCTTTATTTTTCTAACAAGAAAGCAACCCAGGGTGGTTTTGGCTAACAGGTATGACCAGGGTCTCAGTGCCTACGGCTAGCAGAGCCAGGCAGGCCCTCCACATAGATGGGCCAGTGTGTAATCAAAAGAAAAGAAATTCACATTAAAGTAGATAAAAACAAGGAGGTAGAGAAACATATTAAAAGGAGGAACAGAAGGGCAGCCTTGAGCCCGGCAGTTAAAACACTTGTATTGCACATTGTAGTGCCGGCTTTGCTCCCTGGCTCCAGCTTCCTGCCGGTGCACACCCGAGGAGGCAGCAGTCATGACCCCAGTAATTGGCCTCCTGGTGCCCATGTGGGAAACTTGGATTGCGCTCTGGACTCTGGGCTTCAAACCCTGTCATTGTGGGCATTTGCAGAGTGAACCAGCAAACAGGAACACACTCTCACACTCTTTTGCTCTTGCTCTTGCTCTGCCTCTCAAATGAAAAAAAAATTTATGATTTATTTACTTGAAAGTCAGAGTTACAGAGAGAGAGAGAATCTTCCATCTACTGGTTCACTCCCCAAATGGCCACAGTGGCCAGAGCTGGGTCAGACTGAAGCCAGGAGCTTCATCCAGGTCTCCCCTGTGGGTGCAGGGGCCCAGGCACTCGGGCCAGCTTCTGCTGCTTTCCCAGATGCATTAGCAGGAAGCTGGATTGGAATTGGAGCAACTGGGACTTGAACCAGTGCCCATCCCATATGGGATACTGGTATTGCAGGCAGCAGCTTAACCAGCCACACCACAATGCTGCCGCCCCCCCAAAAACTTTTTTTAAAGGTCAGGAGGAGCAAAGAAGAATGCATTCCCGCTTAGAAGATTTGATTTTTAAAAAGCCATCGACTCCATTACTGGGAGATAATCTTTGTTCATGTTTCGTGTTGGAGATAATCTTTTTTGATGTCTTCTTCTTATCTTGTTACGGTATTACAAATACAGAGTCACAGTATACATAACATCGTAGGTTTTGGCTATTTCACTCAGCCTGACGTGTAGAATATCTCCGCAAGGCATTGAGGAGTGACCGCAAGCATGCCCAGTGACCTCTGGAGCTTCTGCGCCCGGGTTTGCTCAGATCCCCTAGTGTTGGATATGCAGGTTGCTTCTTTTTTTTTTTTTTTTTAAAGATTTATTTATTTTACTTCAAAGTCAGAATTACATGGGAGAGAGAGAGAAGGAGAGGTCTTCCATCCAATGGTTCACTCCCCAATTGGCCACAACGGCTGGAGCTGTGCTGATCCGAAGCCAGGAGCCTCCTCTGGGTCTCCTACACGGGTGCAGGGGCCCAAGGACTTGGGCCATCTTCTACTGCTTTCCCAGGCCATAGCAGAGAGCTGGACAGGAAGTGGAGCAGCTGGGTCTCGAACCGGCGCGCATATGGGATGCTGGCGCTTCAGTCCAGGGCTTTAACCCACTGTGCCACAGCACCGGCCCCGCAAGTTGCTTCTAATCTGGAGGACTGGGTGAATCTTAGTGCACATCTCTGATTAGTTCCTGAGATATAATCATTTAGATGCAATGAATAGGTCAAAGGGAATGACAGTTTTTAGTAAGGGATTTGGAACATCGAATTGACATATTCCTAAGTAGCTCTCAAGGCAGCACCTGGAGACTTGGATGTATTTAGAGTCAGCTTTTCTGCTGGGTTAGTGAGACTGAGAGCACATCAGAGCCATAGGAGATCTTAGCCATCACCTCACCAAAGCCCCTTGTTTTTCGGATTGGGAAAGTGAGACTGAGCGAGAGAGAAGGTAGCACGTGGGGAGGCACAGCTGGAGCTGTTACTAGTTGTGATAATTATGGTCTCAGCAATAATGACTAAGGTAGATGAAGCTTCTGTATTGTGCTGAGTTCTCCACGTGCATTTTCTCGGGTAATCTTCGCAATAACACTACAACATAAGTGTAGTTTTCCTCATCTGAAAGATGGGGGCAGTAATAGTACAGTGACCCACCAGCGATGGCCAATGTTGATCAAGTACTTGCTGTTACCATTTAAAAAAAAATCTCCATGTTAGAAACAAGGAAAATGAGATACAGAGATGTTATCTGATGTTTTCAACTGGCCTGACAAGTAGATTATAAAACCAGAATTTAAGCCCAGATCAGAGGGGCCAGCGCTGTGGTACTGTGAATTAAGCTGCCACTGGAATACTGGCATCCCATATCGGAGAGCTGGTTTCTGAGTCCCAGGCTCCACTTTCAATCCAGCTCCCTGCTGATGTACCTGGGAAGGTAGCAGAAGGTGGCCCAAGCACTTGGGCTCCTGCTACTCATGTGGGAGACCCATAAGGAGTCTGCCCCAGTCCCGTCATTTGGGGAATGAACCATCAGGTGGAAGATCTCTCTGTGTCTCTCCCTCTCTCTCTGTTGCTGAGTCTTCCAAATTAATAAATAATCCTTAAAAAGTAATAGATAAATAAACTCAGGTCAGACGGACTGCAGAATGCCTGGTCCTGACCACTGCGCTACACTGCCTCTGTCACCCCAGTGTGCCAGGGCAAGAGGAGAGAAACAGAGGGACGCTGGGAACTGTTAAAGGGCTCTGTCGTTTCAATGCCATCCAATTGGCTAGGCAGAATAGATGTGTATGGAGATCGTAAACACTTGTCTGCAACTGGGCCCTGACATTCACAGCAGACTGTCCAACCAAGGAAGCCGGGAAGTTCCCGTCCAAAGCCAGGTCAGTTTTAGAGCTGGCGTGACGTGGGTTGCTCAGCATCCGGCTCATGCCCCTCGACTGGTTTTCCTTGAAAGCCTGTGCTTTCCCCCGGGTGTGGCTGCTGCTGGGTCTGCCAGGGCTGTGGCGGGGACGCTGTAGATTGGAGCCTGGGAGCCCTGGGTTCTTGACCCGGCTCTGCCGTGACTGGCTGTGTGACCTCACGCAAGTCTTGTCCCTTCTCTAGGCCTTGGTCTCCAGCTCTATGAAGTGAAAGGGCGGAATTTATGCACAGTGCCCAGGAGTGGCTGGCCACCAGGAGCACCTGGGTGGTTCTGTAAAAAGATACAGGTTTCTAGTCCTGGGCCTCCTCTCTCTTTCTCTCTCTCTCTCTCTCTTTCTCTCTTTCTTTCTCTCTCTCTCTCTCTCTCTTTCTCTCTTTCTCTCTTTCTCTCTCTCTCTTTCTCTCTCTCTCTTTCTCTCTGACTCTTTATCTTCTCCTTTCTCCCTACTTCCCTCATCCGTCTTCCCCTGCAAACTATGGTTTAGCATATCCAGGCTGGCCATCTAGAATTTGCATTTTATAAACCTCTTCAGGTGAGTCTGACAAGCAGCCAGGTGTGGGAATGTCTAGACCAGATCTACTAAACGCCCTCCCTGCCCCCACCCCTATCATCCCGAGATCCAGGTCTGCAGCCATCATGTCTTAGGTGCCATGTGCTTCAGAGTGCATGATTCAAGCTACATCGGGGGCAAGTCAGAAACCATTTGTCATTTACTTGTTTGAAACTCAGGGACACCAGGGGCCAGTGCCGTGGCTCACTTGGTTAATCCTCCACCTGCGGCGCCAGCATCCCATATGAGCACCGAGTTCTAGTCCTAGTTGCTCCTCTTCCAGTCCAGCTCTCTGCTGTGGCCAGGGAGTGCAGTGGAGGATGGCCCAGGTGCTTGGGCCTCCACACCCGCATGGGAGACCAGGAGGAAACACCTGGCTCCTGGCTTCGGATCGGCGCAGTTCTGACCATTGCGGCCATTTTGGGGGTGAACCAACGGAAGGAAGACCTTTGTCTCTCTCACTGTCTGTAACTCTACCTGTCAAATAATAAATAAAAAACTAAAAAAAAAAAAAAAAAAAAAAAAAAGAAAAAGAAACTCAGAGAGACCGACACAGAGCTCCGGTCTGCTATCTCCTGTCTGCTGGTTCATTCCCCAGTGTTAGCAACAGTCAGGGCTAAGCCAGGCTGAAGCCAGGAGCTGGTAATATAATCCATGTATCCAGCACGGGTGGCAGGGACCCAAGTACTTGAGCCATCACCCGCTGCCTCTCAGGGTGCACATTGGCAGGAAGCTGGAATTGGAAGCAGAGTTGAGACTCAAACCCGGGCACCCTGACACGGGATGCAGGCGTCTATTTGCTACTATGCCAAATGCCTACCACAGAAAACATTTTTCTTAACATTTCTATTGAATGATAGCATGCAAATAGAAAAACATGCAAATCATAAGCACTAGATGTACATTTTAACCAAGAGTGCACACGTGTAACTAGCGTCCAAATCAAGAGACAGAACATTAGCAGTACCCAGAGTCTGCTCCCAGCCACTGCCCTCCCCCATGGCAGGCACCCTCCCGTCAGGTCAGAAGGCACAGTGCCAGTGGCACCGTTTGGAGCCCTGCTCAGCCCGGGTGAGCACCCCCAGGGCCTGACGTCTTGAAGAAGATGGACGTGCTTTATTGTGTGAAGCACCAAGAATGTTCCATTCTGCTTTTTGGTAGAGTGTACCACTCTCTGTACTGTCCTGATGGAAGCCGGCGTCTGAATTATGCCCGGCTCTCAATGGAAGAAGGTGACTACGTGATGGCATGGGCAGGAGAGTGCCTTGGGGAGACTTTAATTACTCCCATTTCCCAAGAAAAGGAGGTCCCTCTGCCATGCGGGGTCACATGGAGGAGCAGGCAGAGGCATCAGGAGCAAAGCTGCTCATCAGGTCTGTCTGTGCTTCCTGTGAGAAAGGCAGGGCAGGGCAGGACAGGGAAGGACAGGGCAGGATGGGGCAGGGCAGGGCAGGGCAGGACTGGGCAGGGCAGGACAGGACTGGGCAGGGCAGGACAGGACTGGGCAGGACAGGACAGGGCAGGATGGGGCAGGGCAGGGCAGGACGGGGCAGGGCAGGACAGGGCAGGGCAGGGCAGCAGGATGGGGCAGGGCAGGGCAGGGTGGGGCAGGACAGGGCAGGACGGGGCGAGGCAGGACAGGGCAGGACTGGGCAGGGCAGGACAGGGCAGGGCAGGA